CCGCCGCCGCGGGTTCGAACGCCGTCGCGGCGGACGCCGCCGCGGCGGCGCGCGCGCGGTGCTCCCCGGCGCCGCTGAGGGACGCGGAACAACCGGAACGTCGACCGTCGCGGTCGTCGGCGGTCGCCGCGGGCGTCGCCGCCGCCGCCGCCGCCGCCGCGGGACCGCGTCCGCTCACCGCGATGAAACACGACGAGAAGCGCGCGGCGGCGGCGGCGAAGCTGCGCGAGCGCGTCGCCGCGGCGTCGAGGGCGGCGGAGGAGGCGCGCGCGAGGCTCGCGGCGGCGAGAGCGGCGGACGTGGAACGTCAACCGTCGCGAGGGGAGCGGCCGACGACGGCGATCCCCGGCGATCCCAAAAGGCGCGTCGCGGCGAACAACCGGAAGCCTCTCGCGAGCGACCCGGGGTCGCCCGCGTCGAGGCCGGCGTCCGCACCGCGTCCGCTCTTCTTCGGACGAGCGCCGGCGCCGGCGAGCGCGGCGGCTGAACAGGAACCGCCGACCGCGTCCCCCCCGGCGCGGCGGATAAAATACGTCGTTCGCCCGCAGTCCGCGGCGGGGCCGGGGCCGGGGCCCGAGGCGCCGCGCTCGCGACCGCGTACCGCGGGCGCGAGCCCGCAAACACGCCCGATGAGCGCGAGCCCGCAAACACGCCCGATGAGCGCGGCGCTTCGGGCCATCGCGAGCCATCGCGCGGCGGAGGCGAAAAAGTCGGAACGCGACGCCGAGGAGAAGAAGCGAATGATTCGCGCGCGCGACGCCGCCGCCGTCGCCGCGTTGCCGTCGTTGCTCGACGACGCCGGCGGCCCGGAGCTCGGCGCGGAGGCTTGGAATCGAAAGCGACCCGAAAGCGCCGCAATGGTGGTCGTCGCGCGTTCTCCGCCGCCTCCGGACAGCCCGGGGATGCGGGAGTTGGCGTTGGCGGCGGGGGCGTCGGGACCCGGGGGACCCGGACGCGGATGGGTCGGCGCGCCGCCGTCGGCGCTGCGAGCGCGCCCGCGCGCGTTCGCGGGCGGCGCCGCGCGCGCGCGGCCGTCGACCGCGGGGGGCGTCGTCGCGCGCGGCCGCGTCGCCGCGCACGCGCACGACGCCGGCGCCGGGCGACCCGCGTCCGCGTTCGGCGTCGTCGGCGCGAGGAAAGAGATCATCGCGACGTCAACGCCGCCGAGAGGTCGCCGCGCGGACGACGTCGCGGCGGCGGCGGCGGCGCCCGGAGCCGGAGCCAGAGCCGGAGCTCGCGCGGAGAGAAGGAGGAAGCTCGCGGCGCGCGATGCCGCCGCGGTCGCGGAGCTGGCCGCGGCGGAGGGGGAATATCTCACGCCGCGCCTCGCCCGAGCGCTCGGGGTGCGCGCCGCGAGGGCGCCGGCGCCGGAAGAGGCGAACGCGGCGAACGCGGACGCGGACGCGGACGCGGAACGTCGATCGTCGCCGTCGCCGTCGCCGTCGCGCGCGAGCGACGCGGTCGCCGCCGCCGCGGCGGCGGTGGCGTCGTACGTCGGCGCGCGATACACGTCTCCCGGGCCCGACGACGACGACGGAACCCGCGTCGAAGGGAAGGAGAACGAAGCGCCGGGCGAGACGACGACGACGACGACGACGAGCTCGAGCTCTCTTCTCTTCGGCGGCGCGTCCACGGTGGCGCCGGAGACGATCGACGGAGGCGGCGGCGTCGACGGCGGCGCGCTCGCGGCGGCGATCGCCGAGGCTGCCGCGGCGGCGAAGGCGGCGACGGACGTCGCCAACTCCGTCCCGAGCGACGCCGACGCCGACGCGAAAGTCCTCAAGGAATCGCGTTCACCACGCGAACGGGGTCGTATGGGAAGCAGTCTCACCCCCGCGGACGCGGACGCGGACGCGCCGGAGCCTTCGACCGAGCCGTCGATGGTCGATCCGCGACCGCGCGTCGCCGCCGCCGGGTTTGAACGGAGGAGCGTCCGGAGCTCGCTCGAGCGGTTCGCGTCGCGTCGGACGGCGAGGATGGAGGAGGAGGAGGGAGGAGGCGCGGAGGAGGAAGCGGACGACGCGGACGACGCGGACGCGGTCGCGGACGCGGACGCGGGAGCGGGGATCGCGGCGTCGAAGCCAAAGTCGGGCGGCGCGACGGCGTTGACGATCACCGGGACGCTGCCGTTCGCGTTCGGCGAGCGCGGCGGCACCACGGAGACGACGGAGACGACGGCGACGACGACGACGACGACGACGACGAAGACCGCGGGAAGAGAAGGCGACGACGGCGTCGCGTGGCGCGTCGTGGACGGAGGTATGGACTCTGACGGCGGCGACGACGACGACGACGACGGCGACGACGACGACACGTTCGATCCGTACGCCGTGCACGTGCCGAACCCGCTGTTCGAGGACGAAGCGAACCCGGTGGTGCTGCCCGGCGGCGGCGGCGAAGACGCGGAGGACGACGTGGGCGAAGGAGGCGGAGCTGTTCCGGCGGCGGACGAGGAGAGCGACTCTGACGGCGACGGCGACGGCGACGGCGACGGCGAAGTCCTCGAGGAGGATCGGCGTTCGCGGAGAGACACGCTGGGAGAGAAAGTCCTTAAGGATCGGCGTTCACCACGCGGACGCGGTCATATGGGAACCAGTGTACAGAACGATGGCGGCGCGGGGACCGGCGCGCGCGACGAAGCGGCGGCGGCGCGCGTCGACGCGAGCCGGAGTCGGCGCGTTTCTTCGTCGTCGTCGTCCGGCGTGTACGATGATTTCTCCGACACCGTGTCGTCGTCCGACACCGACGCCGACGCGGCGGACGACGCGCCGGCGGAGTCCGCCGGCGCTTCTTCCTCTTCTTCCTCCGATTCCGATTCCGAATCCGAGTCCGAGTCCGAGTCCGACGATTCAGATTCCGAGACGCGGTATATGAACCGACACGGAACGTCGCGGCGCGCGCGCGTGGAGGAGCTCGTCCGCGCGATGACGCGGACGGAGGAAGCCGCGACGGCGCTCGTCGGCGCCGACGCCTTCGGCGAGCTCTACGACTTTCTCGCCAAACGCGCCGAGGGACCCCGGGATGATGAAAACGCGTCGACTCACGCGACCGTCTTCGACGCGCCGAAGAAGGACACGCGCGGATTCGAACCGCCGTCGCTCGAGGCGCTGAGCGACGCCGTGTTCGCGATCGTGCCGAGGGAGAAGGCGGAGGCGGTCGCGCTCGCGTACAGATACATGTACCTCGTCGGGCAGTTGGAAGACGTCGCGGAGTGACGAGATTAAACGCTCATAGGAGTGACGAGACTGTACTTCCGGAAGTAGAACCAATCATCGTAGTAGACATAAGAGTACACACCTACCACCGCTGACGCGCGGAAGTACTTCTGCGCTGCCTGCGCGCCACGAGACGTGCGAGCGCGCGACCGAACCGCGGAGTGATGAGACTAAATGCTCATAGGAGTGACGAGACCGCGACCGCCGCGCCTCGACCGTCACGACGGCGGGACGGATACCCGAGTCAGCTCGAGCTCGTACCGCAGCGTCGCGCCCGGCGGCACGGTGCCCTCGCTCAGCTGGTTCCGAAACGAGGCGGGACGACGAAAAGCATGATACTTTCATCGGTCAGTCGAAAGGGAACGAACGCGATCAAATGTTGAACCTACCAACCGCGCGCGGGGCGGGCGAAAAACGAAAAACGAAAAACGAAAAGTCCTTAAGGATCGGCGTTCACCACGCCGACGCGGTCGTATGGGTACCAGTGTGAGGAGATGATGACTCAAAACGAGACGCTCGTCGCGCGGAAGATCAATTTCGCACCGTCGCGCCCTCGCTCCCGAACCCCACGTTCGCCGGCACCGTCATCACGCGGACGCCGCCCTGGCGCATCGTGCTCACGCCCTCCATGACCCCGCGCGTGATCGGGCCGGTGGGCTTACCGAACGCGAATATCAGCGGCCGACGCGTCTTTTTCGTGTCCAGGACCACGACTTCGGGGTCGTTCTGCGCGAGCGAACAGAACGTCGGGGTGGAGTTCAAAGGCGTCAGAAGCGGAGTTGAAAGGCGTCGAGGTGTGTCGGGATTGAAAGCGAGGGACCCTGGGCGCGAAGAAACGCCCGCCGGGAGAGAAAGTCCTTAAGGATCGCCGACGGGGTCGTACGGGAACCAGTGCGATGGATGAGAACGCGCCTCGTCGCCGTCGCCGACGACGGTGGCGACGACGTCCGCCGCGAGAAGGTAGCCGTTCTTCGGCGCGTCGCCCCCGCCGACGACGATATCGACGTATCGCAGCCCGCTCTCCGTCGCCACCTCGACGCGCTTCGCCTCCGCGACCGCCGTCGTCCCCTCGACAGCCTCCCGCACCTCTCGCCGCGTCTTGAGTTGCTCTGATGATCGATGATTCGCGGATGGCATGGTTGAAACATTCGTTCACCGGTCGGTGATCAGTTGAAAGGGACCCACGCGATCAAACGTTGAAACCGGACGATTGGTGAAATGCGTGCCAATACGGATGAACGCACCCGAGACGACGCCGAACGTGAGCACCCCGAGCCACGCGAGTCCCCCCGCGACGCCGAAGCGGCGCGTGAGGAACGACGCGACCGCGTCGGTGCTGTCCGCGCGGCGCTTGCCGCCGCCTTTGCCGCCGGACTTGAGCGGCGCGGGCGTTGGCGCGGGCGATGGCGCGTCGTCGTCCGCGGACGTGGGGGCCCCGGGCGCGTCGTCGTCCGACGCCGCGACGACGACGCGATGACGAGGACGCGAAGGACGCGAAGAAGAAGAAGAAGAAGAAGAAGCGCGCGCGACGAGAGGTTCGGTCCTCGCGCGCGGAAGCGTCGTCGTCGCTCGCGGCGCGACGACGACGACGACGGGCGCGGCGCGGAGCGCGAGCATCGCGCTCGAGGTCGCGCGGCGGCGGGCGGGCGGGCGCGCGCGGCCGACAGTGCGATGCGATAAGAAACCGGAGACGACGACGACGAATACCTGTAAAATAAAATAAAATCGTCGTCGTCGACCTCGTCGTCGCCACAGCGACGACCGCGCGTCGTCGCCATCGTCGCCGCCCCGCCGCCGAAAACGCCGCTCCGTCGCGTCTCGCGCGCGATGTCCGCGGCCGCGCGCGTCGCCGCGCCGCCGGTCGCGTCGTCGCGTCGTCGCGTCCCGCGCGCCGGCGCCGCCGACCCCGCGGGGCGTCGACCGACGCCCGTCGCCTCCCTGATTATGCGTCGTCGCCTCGCGCCGCGTCTCCACGTCGCGGCGCGCGCGTCGAACGGCGCCTCCTCCTCCTCCTCCTCCTCCACGGACGACGTCGCGTCCGGGTACGACGACGCGCGCCCGAGCATCCGCGACCTCGAGGAGCTGCTCGCGACCGCGATCCGCGACGAAGACTTCACCGCGGCCGCGTCGCTGCGAGACCGACTCTCGGCGATGAAACGCGACGCCGCGACCGGCGTCCTCGACGCGAACGAGCGCTTCTACGTCGCGTTTCGCTCGGGGAGCCTGCGCGCGATGCGCGACGTGTGGGGCGCGGGCGACCACGTGCAGTGCATGCACCCGGGGAGCGCGGTGATCAGCGGCGCTCCGGACGTCCTCGCGTCGTGGGAGATCGTCTTCTCGAGCATCCCGGGCGGGGGGTTGGGTGCGTTCTATACACTGGTCCCCATACGACCGCGTTCGCGTGGTGAACGCCGATCCTGAAGGACTTTTGCCGTCGTCTCTCTCCGCCCACCCCCCGCTTTCAATCCCCGCCCTCGACGCCTTTCAACTCCATCTGACGCCTTTCAACTCCACCCCGACATTCGCTCGTATGGAACGACCCTTAGACGTCGAGGCGGAGAACGTTCGCGTGCACGCGTCGGGCGACTTGGGGTTCGTCACGTGCGTCGAAAAGGTGGACAGCTCCACGGGGTACGGGACGCTCACCGCGACGAACGTCTTCGAGCGACAGGGAGGAGAGTGGAAGATGGTGCATCACCACGCGAACGGCGTCCAGGGGTTGCTGTAGTTGATTGTACGAGATGACGCGACGCGGCGTATCGCCGGCGGTGACTTACTAACGTCGCGACGATCGAATCAGACGACGCGATAGAACGCGAGATACTGTTGTACTCAAAAATCACGCCGCGTTCTTCTCTTCTCCCTCGTCCTCCGCGTCGTCGTCGCGCTTCTTCTCCGCGGACGCCTCGATCCTCGGCGCGCCGTCCGCGCTTCGCCGCGGCGCGTGGCTCTTCCGCGTCGTCGGCGTCGTCAGATGCCGCTGTAATCCGAAGACGTCTCTGCCGCGCGTCGCGTCTCGATCCCATCGACCCCCCTCGCGCTGCTCCCAGTACCCACCCGCGTACGTCCACAGCGCGGCGCCGTGCTCCGCGAAGTTGACGCGCACGCCACCGCCGCTGCTCTCGCTCCGAGCGAACCACGCCGGTCGATACTTCTCGTCCTTCGCCTTCCTCGCCGCCGCCGACGACCGGTTGATCCCCTCGACGCGTCGTTTCATCTCCGACGCGAGCTCCACGTCGCCGTCCTCGAGCGCGCGCATGTCCGGCCGCAGCCGCGAGTCCGTGGGCGGAAGGTTCCGGTATTGCTCCGGCGTGAGCTCGTTGAGCGCGATGGCGAACGGCGTGAAGCCGTACTGCCGCGCGGCGTCGTCGGCGAAGCCGGCGAACGCGAAGAGCGGGAGAGCGTCGCCGCCGCCCTCTCCAGTTCCTCTCCACTTGACGTCGAGCGGGTGCAGCCTCGTTCGTCGCCTCTGGGGGGCGCCGCCGCCGGCGACGGCTTCCGCTTCCGCGACCGCCGCTTCTTCCGCGACCGCTCGCCGCTCGTACGCCTCGTCCGCGTGGACGCGCACCTCGCTCAGGACGCACCCGTCGACGGTGGCCGCGACGCGGCCGTCGGCGTCGAAAATCTGGAAACCATACAAGCGAACGTTGGGGTGGAGTTGAAAGGCGTCAGTCGCAGTTGAAAGGCGCCGAGGGCGGGTATTGAAAGCGAGGGATGAACGGAGAGATGCGCCGGGAAAAGTCCTTAAGGAATGGCGTTCACCACGCCAACGCCGTCGTATGGGGACCAGTGTATAGAACGCACCTCCCCCTCCACGCGCCCCCGCCGCGCCTTCCCGGATCCGCCCTTCCCGGACGCCTTCGCGAGCCGCAGCTTCGCCTTCTCTCCGGTGGCGTGCGCGAAGACGGCGACGTCGCCGACCATGTCGATCCAAATCTGCCCGCTCACGAGCCCGTGCACGTGCATCGACGCTTTGCTCCACGAGTACGTCTCGTTCGTCCTGTGGGGTGGAGTTGAAAGGCGTCAGCTGGAGTTGAAAGGCGCCGAGGGCGGGGATTGAAACCGTGGCGTGGGCGGAGAGATGCGCCGGCAAAAGTCCTTAAGGATCGGCGTTCACCACGGCGACGCGGTCGTATGGGGACCAGTGTAACCAGAACGCACCGCGGCAGCGTGAGGTGCGCGGCGCCTTGGAAGTTGACCTCGAGGTATTGGCCCCAGAACTTGGACACTCCCGCGAGGTCGCCGGACACGACGAACGGCTCCCCGCGCGGCGACATCCCCTCGACGTGCCACGCCGCGACGGGCGGGTCGTACACGAGCTGCTCGACGAGGACGCGCGTGCGACCGTCCGGCGACGTCCAATCGTACGTCTCCTGGTGAGGACGGAGGGAGGGAGGGGCGCGATTTGATTTGGTTTGATTTGATTGGTCAGTCAGCGCGCGAGATACGCACTCTCGCGACGCGATTGGTCAAATCGCGGCGACGCGTCGGATCGCGCGGCCGAGAGAGCACGCACGAGAGACGGGAAAGACCAGTCTGAACGGAAAAGTCCTTAAGGAACGGCGTTCACCACGCGAACGCGGCCGTATGGGAACCAGTGTAACGCGCACCCCCAACGTCGGCGCGAACGGCTTCCGAGGGCGCGCGAACCACGACGCGTACGACGACAGCGCGAACCCGCACAACGCGGCCATCCGGTTGACGCCCGCGGGGTAATCGATCGCGTCGTACAGCAGCTGGTGAGTGCCATTCCATAGAAAAGATGTTCATTCATCGGTCAGTTGAAAGGGGACGCGATCAAATGTTGAAACCGAGCGATGGGTGAAAAACGTTTGTATAGAACGCACCTGGAGGTATTCGAAGTCCTCCACGGCGCGCTGCAGAATGCTCAGCGGCTGATTGATAGACGCGGGCATGGATATTCGGTTGAGGTCCTTGCCCATCGCCTGCCTCAGGACGGACCAGAGCGAGAACGACTGGTTCAGAGGCGCGGGCGCGGGGAGTCGCGTTCGCGGGATGAACGCCGCCATCGCCGCGTCGTCGTCGTCGACGTCGTCGTCGTCCGCGGCGTCGTCGTCGGCCGCGGCGTCGTCGTCGTCGTCGCCGCCGCCGTCGTCGTCGTCGTCGTCGCCGCCGCCGCCGACGAAAATCAAACTCGCGGCGGCGTCCGCGCCCCCTCCCGGCGTCGGCGACGCGACGCCCTCGACGAGCTCGTCCCCTCGCTCGCCGTCCGCCGCGGTCCCCTCGCTGACGACGTAATCGTGCTTGTTCATGACCTCGACCGCGGCGATGTATTCCGGGGTTTCGCGCTCGTCCCCCGCGCCGCCGCCGCCGCCGCCAAAGCTCAAGCTCGCCGCCGCGGAGATGAACGACGCGACGCTTCCGTAGTCCGAGCTGGCGTCGCTCTCTGATGAGTCCACGCCGCCGGGTCCCTCGGGACCGCGCGCGCGTTCGTCGTCGCGAAGCGCGAGCGCTCTCGCGAACGCGGACGCGCGCCCGGGGGTGACGACGACGACGTCTTCCGACTTTTGACTTACGCCGGCGGCGGCCCCGTCCCCGCGTCCCCCCCCGTCCCCGGGGGCGCCGACGCCGCGCGTCGTCGCGACTCCATTCTTCGGCGCGCACTCCGCGGCGACGATCGCGAGCTGCTCGTTCGCGCGACTGACGAGGGCCGTTCCAGTATACGAAAATAGTCCACCGGTCAGTTGAAAGGGGACGCGATCAAATGTTGAAACCGATGGATGGGTGAACACTTTCGTTAACAGTAGAACGCACCTGAGCTTCCTTCGCAGCGACGCGTTGGTCGTCTCGAGCTCGACGCACTTTCCGATGGCGGCGTCCAAAGCGTACGTGAACGCGTCTTCGACGCCGCGTAACGCCGTCGTCACGGCCGTTTCGGAGCCATCGTCCTCGCCGCCGCTGACTTTCACGCCCAGGGACTCCGCGAGCCGAGTGATGCCGGTCTTGACGTCGCGCGCGCACTCTGCGGCGGCGGCGCGCGCGGCGAGCGTCGGCTCGAACCACGCCTTTTCGAGCGTCGCGCGAAGCGCCTCCGCGGTGGCGGCGTCCGCCGCGGGGGGGGGCGTCGAGGGCGGCGGCGCCGCGCGGACGACGGGGGGTGCCGAGTGTGCCACGTGGACATCAAGGGGTGCCGATGAAGACGATCGCGACGGCCTCCCTCCGGGGGGGTCCACCCGCGTCGCGCCGAGCTTCTTCGCGCCCGCGGTCGCGGTAGCGGTCGCGCCGCCGCCGCCGCCGCCCTCCGAAGCCCTCGCCGCCGCCGCCGCCGCCCGTTCGTTCTCCCTGTCCTTCACGATCGCCGCCGCGCGCTCCAACGCGCTCGCGCTGTCGCGTATGACCGCCGCCCACTTCTCTCGCCCCCCTGGTCGCAGCGCGCGCATCTTATACAGCATGTCGCCGGCGACGACGACGAACTCTCTCTGAGGGTCGTTCCATACAAAGCGATGGCGGGGTGGAGTTGAAAGGCGTCAGATGGAGTTGAAAGGCATCGCGGTCGGGGATTGAAAGCGAGGGATGGGCGGAGAGATGCGCCGGCAAAAGTCCTTAAGGATCGGCGTTCACCACGCCAACGCGGTCGTATGGGGACCAGTGTATAGAACGCACCTGATTGCTGCGGCTCGGAAACACCACCGAGGCGCCCACGAGATCGATCTTCGTCGCTCGGCCGAGCTGAGGGCGTTTAGGGTGGAGTTGAAAGGCGTCAGAAACGGAGTTGAAAGGCGTCGAGGTGTGTCAGGATTGAAAGCGAGGGACCCTGGGCGGAGAGAAACGGACGCTGGGAGAGAATGTCCTTAAGGAACGGCGTTCACCACGCCGACGCGGTCGTATGGGAACCAGTGCGCGGTGAGATAACAACCCACCTTCGTGGACTTTCGATGCACGAGCAGCACCCCCGGCGTCGAGCTCGCGTTGAGCCATCGCGTCTGCCAGCGCTGAAAATTGTTCACCCACAGGTTAACGTACCCCTCCGGCGGGTCGCTCTCGTCGCGGTGCGGGAATCGCGCGAGGCGTCGGAGGTTCTCCGCGACCGCCCGCTGGACCCCGCCGGCGGGTCGAGATGATCCCGAACCCGCGCGTCCTCCGCGCGACGCGTCGCGCTCTCGCTCTCGCTCGTCGACGCCGCTCTCCTTCTCCGCGGCGCCGCCGCGGCGGCGGATGGAGGCGTCGTCGCGGTCGCGACGCGCGCCGCCGATTCCGTCTTCGCCGTCGTCGCCGTCTCGCGGACGATGCGACCGCTGTTGTTGTTGACTCTTCGGCGACGGCGACGACGGCGGGGACACGAACAGCGCGCTCGCCTCGCGCTCGGTCGTCTTCCACGCCGCCTTGATCTTGCTCCCGAGGTCGCGCCCGCGCTGCTTCACCTGCGCGATGACCACCTTGCTCACGCGCTCGGCGTCTCTCGCCAGCTCGCGTCCCTTCTCGCTCGCGGACGCCGCGCCGTGGCCATTATTATTATTACTCGTGCCATCATTACTCGCGACGCCTCCTCCGCTCGCGCGTCGCTCGCCGCCGTCGAGCGACGCGCGCGGCGGCGACGACGGCGGGGTGGCCGCCGCCGCGCGCCGCTGGTTCGGCGGCGTGTCGTCGCGCGTCGTCGTCGGCGGCGGCGCGCTCGGGGAGGACCAGCCGCCGTCCGTCGACCGCCGACGCATCGAGGGGGGCGCGGTTGTGAATGTGTCGAACGACGCGCGTTCGCTTTTTTTTGGGATCTGAGACGGATGAGTGACGCGGATACGCGGAGCGTACTACGTACGATGAGATCTCGTATGGAATCTCAGTCAGGCCGAATCCCTCCGCCAATCAGCGCGAGGGGAGATTTCCCGACACTCCGCTTTCAGTAGTCCGATCTCCGGAATCGCTCACTCTCCGCACTCCTCCTCGCGCGCGCGTCGTCCCCTCCCTCGGACTCCGCTTCGCATCGCAGGCGACCCCTTCGCATCACGCCGCTCCTCCTCACGCCGACGACGGCGATGGCGTCCGCGGCGACGACGCGCGCGTCCCCCGCGGCGCGCCCGATGACGTTGAGCTCTCGCGTCGTCCGCGCGAGGTCGCTCTTCGCGACATCTCGCGCCGGCGCGCCCCGCGCGTCGCGCGCGCACGCGGGCCTCGCCGTCCGCGCCGCGGCCGACGGTGCGCGCGCGACGCCCCCGCCCCCGCCCTCTCGTTTTCGTCCGCGACGAGCGACGCGCGCGAGGCGTCGCTCGCGCGTTTCGCCCGTCCGAACGAGCGCGCTTCGCCCTAAAACCTCATCGTTCGATCGATCGACTCCTCGCGACGTCTTCGCGCACCGCGACGCGACGCGCGCCTCCGTTCCGCGACGACGTGACGTGACGATCGATCCGCTCCTTCCTTCCCGACTGACGATGTCCTTCGTTCTAAACAAACTCCCTCTCAGACGTCGAGCCGCTGCTCGTGCGCGCGGCGAAGAGCCTCCCCGTGGAGCGCCCGCCGGCGTGGATGATGCGTCAGGCGCGTTCTATCTCACGCCGGTCCCCATACGACCGCGTCGGCGTGGTGAACGTCGATCCTTAAGGAATTTTCCACCCGGCGCGTCTCTCCGCCCAGGGTCCCTCGCTTTCAATCCCCGCCCTCGACGCCTTTCAACTCCACCTGACGCCTTTGAACTCCACCCCGACGTTCGCTCGTATGGAACGACCCTCAGGCGGGTCGATACATGAAGGAGTACCGCGACCTCGCGGTGAAGTATCCGTCGTTCCGAGAGCGCTCGGAGAACACGGATCTGATCGTAGAGATCACGCTTCAGCCGTGGAGGGCGTTTCAGCCCGACGGCGTGATCCTGTTTTCGGACATTCTGACCCCGCTCCCCGCGATCGGGATCCCGTTCGAGATCGATGACTACAAAGGTCCGATCCTCGACCAACCGATTCGCGACGCCGAAGGTCTCAAGTCGCTGCACGAGCTCGACCTCGACATGCTGCCCTTCGTCGGCGAGGCGCTCACGGAGCTGCGGAAAGAAGTCGGCGACTCCGCGGCGGTCCTCGGGTTCGTCGGCGCGCCGTGGACGCTCGCGACGTACATCGTCGAGGGGTGCGTTCGTATTCACGCCGGTCCCCGTACGACCGCGTCGCTGTGGTGAACGCCGATCCTTAAGGACTTTCTCTCCCAGCGCACGCATCTCTCCACCCAGGATCCCACGCTGGTTCCCATACCCGCCCTCGGCGCCTTTCAACTTCGCTTCTGACGCCTTTCAACTCCATCTGACGCCTTTGAACTCCCTCCACCAGCGGCTCGAGCTCGACGTACAAGACGATCAAGTCGATGGCCATGACGGAGCCGGACACGCTGCACGCCATCTTGAGCGCCGTCGCGGACGCGGTCGGGACGTACGTCGGGTATCAGATCGACGCGGGCGCGCAGTGCGTGCAGATCTTCGACTCTTGGGGAGGGCAGCTCCCGCCGCACATGTGGGAGGTGTGGAGCAAGCCGTACATTCAACGCGTCGTGGACAAAGTCAGGGCGTCGCACCCTGGGACGCCGCTGACGCTGTACGCGAACGGTTCGGGAGGGTTGCTCGAGCGGATGGCGACGACGGGGGTCGACTGCATCGGCCTGGACTGGACGATCGACATGGAGGACGGCAGGCGGCGAGTGGGCGACAAGGCGGTGCAAGGCAACGTCGATCCCGCGGTGCTCTTCGCGCCCCCGGAGGCGCGTTCTAGCATCACACTGATCCCCGTACGACCGCGTCGGCGTGGTGAACGCCGATCCTTAAGGACTTTCTCTCCCGGCGTTCGTTACTCTCAGCCCAGGGTCCCTCGCTTTCAATCCTGACACACCTCGGCGCCTTTCAACTCCACTTCTGACGCCTTTCAACTCCACCCCGACGTTCGCTCGTATGGAACAGGCGGTGGAGAAGGCGGTCCAGGACGTCTGCGCGAAGGCGGGGCCGGTCGGTCACATCCTCAACCTCGGGCACGGCGTGTTGGTCGGGACGCCGGAGGAGAACGTCAAGGCATTTTTCGACGCCGCGAAGAAGATCAGGTATTGACGAGGACGCGAAGAAGACTGTTTGATTTGATTCCTTCTCGCGCGTTGAAATTAAATTTTCGCCGAATGCATTATTCGTTGAGTGTTCGATCGACGGGAGTCGCGTAGTCGATCGGATCGCGGGCGAGCGACGATCCATCGATGGACGGACGGACGGATGGATGGATTGATTGATTGTTATGCGATGATGAACGCGTTAACGCGAACGTTCGCGTCGTGTCACGTTAGGGCCCACGTTCGCTTCTACGTCTCGTCTCGCTCTCTTCGTAGTAGCTCAACGTTGTCTTCGATCCGTCCATTAAATTCTCCAGTCGTCGCCCGACCGATAACCGACCTGACCTCTCTCCATCCACCGTCGCCGCGAGTGGGGTCTTCAGCCCCTCGAGCGATCAGTCGTCGTCCTTGAACTCTCGGCGGTCCAAGTACCTCGACGGTCGCAGATCGGCGATCTCCTCCTCGCTCATCTGCTCCCCCGTCGCCTTGAGCGTCGCGCGGTTCAGCTCGCGGATCTCCTCCAGACGCGCCTCGTCTCGTTTCTCCTGGGTGACGAAAAAGATCGGGATGCCGAGCCCCGCGGCGAGGCCGAGCCCCGCGGCGAGGATCGTCGTGATCGTCTCCTCGTCGAGCTCGAGCGCGAGCTGTGCGAGCTCGGCGCTCGTCGCGCGGCGCGCGACGGTCGCGCGACGCGCGGCGGGTCGCGGCGACCGCGCGAGCGCGAGGCGGCGATGCGCGGCGGGAGAGCGGCGCGCGGCGACCCTCGCGGCGGATTCGATCGCGGGGGACGACGCGACGACGCGCGCGACGGGCGCCGCGGCGGTCGCGCGCGCGGTCGTCGCGGCGCGTCCGCGCGCGCGGACGACGCTCGGGGTGGATGCGGTGCTCGCGTGCATGATCGAAGACGGGACGATGCGCGCGCGATCGCGAGTGACGCGCCGCGCACGACGACGACGACGAGACGACGACGTGTCTCGGATAAGTTGTTAGGGCGCCAGCTGGCCAGCGGGGAGCGCGCGTTCGTTTCGTACGGACGCCAGTGAGAAACGAAAACTACGAGTACGGCCGTACGAGTACTGAGCTTAAAAATATCATCCCGACGAAAAACCGGTTTAACATCGCATCGCGTCAGCACAACTCGCATCGCATCGCCCGCGCGCACGCGCTCGCACCATGTCTTTCGGTAATTTGGACGAGGCGAAGGACGCGGCCACCGCCGCCGCGACCGGGTTCCTCGGCGACATCAAGCAGAAGATGTCCAAGGTGCGCGACGACGACGCCGCGCGACTCCGATCGACTGATCGACCGATCTCGAACGCGTTCTGTTTCCCCCGATCTCGAACGCGTCGCTCACCCACTTCCTCCTCCTCCCCTCCCGCCCCCTTCCTCGCAGTTCGTCACGCTCGCGCCCGGCAACCCCGAGGTGACGCTCCAGCTCCGCAAGAAGCTCGACGTCGAGATCCCGTTCGCGCCGGACCTCCGCTTCAGCGTCGGCACGGACCTCACGCTGTGCAACCAAGACGCGGGGAACTTTGGAAAGGTGGCGTACGTGCCCAACTTTCAGGCGCGTTCTGTTATCACACCGGTCCCCATACGACCGCGTTCGCGTTGTGAACGCCGTTCCTCAAGGACTTCACTTCCCGGCGGTCGCCTCTCTCCGCCCACACCACGGTCGGTTTCGATCCCGACACACATCGACGCCTCACAACTCCGCTTCTGACGCCTTTCAACTCCGCCCCGACGTTCGTCGCTTCGCGTGGACCCTCGACCCTCAGTGGGACGTCACGGAGACGTGGTTCAACGGGCAGATCCGACTCAACACGGTGCGGCGCGCGCGCGCATAGGGTTTATGCGTTTAGGGCGTACGCGGCTCGCGCCGCGCGCGGGATGGGATCCATCCCCTCCGGCGTCGTTCGTTTCTTCGTCCTTCGCTCTCGACGATTCATTCGATCGACGTGATTCGTTCTATCTCGCACTGGTTCCCATACGACCGCGTCGGCGTGGTGAACGCCGATCCTTAAGGACTTTTGCCGTCGTGTCTCTCCGCCCAGGGTCCCTCGCTTTCAACGCCCGACCTCGGCGCCTTTCAACTCCGCTCTGACGACGCGTCCGATCCGACAGGGCAAGAAGGAACTCTACTACACGAAGGACTTCGACCTCGACGCGGTCATCCTGAAAGTCTCCGGGACGTACGACTACGCGAACAACGCGCCGTACTTTGGCGTGCAGGTCGTCACGACCTCGGGCGTCTGCTCCCCGGCCAACACCAACGGGTTCTCCATCAAGAAGACGATCGAGAAGACGGCGGGGCCGGCGAAGGTCGAGGCGGAGATCGAGGCCACGATCGCGATGGGGAAGCAGTTTTACAATCCTAAGGAAGGGAGCATCAGCTCCTCTCCCGCGGAGTTGGATGTCAACAACGTCAGGTTGTTAGTCACCGTCTAAAGAGGAGTTGGATGTCAACAACGTCAGGTTGTTAGTCACCGTCTAAAGAAGAGCTCCGCGACGAGGTGGAGGAGGATGAGGGGGCGTGTTCCCCCGGTCTTTGATCCGTCGTTCGGGAGGGAGAGGAGGAAGCGTCCGTCCGTCGCTTCGCTTCGCTCGTCGCGCTCTCTTCATCCTGTCATTCGATTCTTCGTTCGTTTGTAACTCCAGCCGTCGTCGGCGTCGTCGCGTCTCGTCGCGTCTCGTCGTCCGTCTCTTCCTTCGCCGCGTCGCCGCCCGCCCGCCCGCCCGCGTTGACGGGAAAAGTCCTCAAGGAACGGCGTGCACCACGCGAACGGGGTCGTATGGGAAGCAGTCTCGTCTCTCTCTACTCGACGACCATCTCCGGCTCCGCGTCCGCGGTCTCCGCCTTCCTCTTCCTGAGCGCGTCCACGAGCATCTTCAGCGGCTTATTCCCGCTCAGCGCCCTCAGGTGCGCGGCGTGCGACTCGAGCATCTCCGCGCAGCCGTCGACTGGGGGGGGCGGCGGGGTATCGTGGTTTTTATCGAAAAAGTCGACGGGTCAGTCGATGGGTTCGACGCGGTCGGGTCGGGCGGATCTTGAAACCGGGCGGGCGCGGGGTGAAAAGTAATATGAACGAAGCGGAAGCGGGCGAGAGACGCGCGCGACGCACCGCCGCCCATGCAGTCCAGCAGACTCTTCTCGTACTCGTCCGGGTACACCGCGCGCGACAGCGCTCTCTGCGACGCGGACCCGTGCAACGCGTCCGCGGTCTTTTTGATGTCCTTCAACGCCGTCGGGGGCAGGTTGAGGCGCGTGTCTCTCGGAGAGTTGACGCTGCCGTCGAGCCAGATCGTGAGGCAGAACCGCTCCACCTCGCTCGGCAGCACCTTGTGCAGCACGTGGTCGGAGAGGAAGACGACCAGACGACCGTGCCGCGGGTTCACGCGGACGGGCGCGCGAAGAAACGGAATCAACTGCAGCTCGCCGCCGTCGCCTTCGCTCCAGTCCGGGTTTAAGTACAGAATGCACGTCAACGCGCGCGACGACGGCGGTCCCGGGTTGTCGTAATGCAACGGGAAGCACCCGCCTCTTCCCGCGTTGTGCTGGATCTTCACCGTCCTCGAGCGGTCGCCCGTGTACAGATCGAACGGGCGACGCTTCGGCGGCGCTGAGGGTCGAGGGTCCATACGAAGCGACGAATGTCGGGGTGGAGTTGAAAGGCGTCAGACGGAGGAGTTGAAAGGCGTCGCGGGCGGGGATTGAACGCGAGGGACCCTGGGCGGAGAGAAACGCCGGGAGAGAGAGTCCTTAAGGAACGGCGTTCACCACGCGAACGCGGTCGTATGGGGACCAGTGTGATAACAGAACGCACCCGGCGCCTTGACCGACGCGCCGCCCGGGGGCGAGGGCGACTCGTCCTCGTCCTCGCTATTCGCCTCGCTCGGCGCGCGAGGCTCGGAGATGTGCTCGTAATCGCCCACCTCGCGCGTGAGCTCGCTGTGCCGCCGCACCGGGTGGTCCGGGTGGTCGGGGTGGTGCTCGTGGCAGTCGAGGATCTGATGAGGGTCGAGGGTCCGCGCGAGCGAACGAACGTCGGGGCGGAGTCGAGGGGTGCGTCAGAAGCGGAGTTGAAAGGCGTCGCGCGCGGTGTGTCGGCATCGAAAGCGGCGAGGGACCCTGCCTTGGCGGAGAGACGCATGCGCCGGAAGAGAAAGTCCTTAAGGAATGAAGTTCACAACGCGAACGCGGTCGTACGGGGACCGGTGCGAAGGATAATAAAACGCGCCTGGAGGTTTCCCTCGCTTCCGAAGACGCGCGCGCGCGACGGCGAGAAGAGCTCCGCCTTGTGCTTGTCCATCGCCTCCTGCTGCTCGTTCGCTTCTCTGTACTCCATCGCGGACAGCTCGTCTGTGGGGGCGGCGGGGAGGGGGAGCGAAGTAATGAGCGCGCGCGTTCCCGTTCCCGTTCGGTTCCGTTCCAAAAAAAACTTCGTCGACAACGAACAAGAAAGGAAACGACTCCATAGAGAACGTTCTTTCTTCGGACGCACCTATGCGCGCGGTGAACGCGTTCGCGAGGCGCGTCGCGCTCTCTCTGAACAGCGCGTCGAGCTCCGGGCACAGCACGCGTATCTCCTCCTCGTGCAGGTCCGTCTCGTACACGTTCGGTTTCGCGAACAGATGACGCTCGCCCTGCGGTCGAGCGACGACGTAGACGAGGGGGATGAGAACGTCGATCGAGCGAAGTACCGCCGCGCGCGCGTGACGTGTCAATGACAGATCTCGCGCGGGGAGGGAGGTGCCCACGACGGCGCGCGTACCTTTGGATTCGCGAAGTGCGTGCGGTTCGGGCGCATCAACCCCGTGCCGGAGAGCCACTTGATCTCGTCGCGAATCGCGGTCGCCCACCGTTCGCCGCTCGCGACGTCCGCGCCGTCCGCGCCGCGCGACGTCGCGTCGGAGGACGAGGAGGACGCGCCCCCTCCGCCCAAGAAGTCGTCGACGACGCACCATCCCTCGTCGCGAAGTTGGCGGACGCGCTCGACCGAGATCGCGTCGTCCCACTTCGAGTAGTCGCGCGAGGACGCGTCGTTCGCGCCGGGGTACGCGCCGACCGACGCGGGGTCTGGGGGTTTCATTCGAGGCGGGGTCGGAAGCGCGCGGGTGGGTGCCGCGAGGAAGTGTCGCTTCATTCGAAAGAGGCTGCTGTGAGAAATGAATGTTTTTTCTTCGTTTCCGTACTCCGTACGCGCGCGTCGTACTCGGATACTAATTGCCTGTGGATCTGGATTCACCGCGATCGCGCAGCCCCGATCGCGCGCGCTGATTGGTCCGTCTCGCGGTAAAGAAAGAAAGAGGGTAATGGCTCGCGCGACGACGCGCGACGACGCGCGCGCCGCGAGAGGCGCGGAACACTCGACGACGCGCATCACACGCACGATGTCCGCCGTCACCACCGCTCCCGTCGTCAGCGCGCGCGTCTCCGTCGCGGGGACGCGCGGCGCGGGCGCGCGCGTCGCGACGACGCGCGCGCCCTCCAAGCGAACCCACCATGTGCTCGCGGCGACGTTCGCGGGATCAGCGGAATCGCGCCTCGCGCTCCGTTCGTCGCGCGCGACGACGCTCGGGCGCGACGCGAGGCGCGCGCGCGGCGGCGTCTTCAACGTCCTCGCGGACACGACGACGACGGACGCGAAGCCCGCGGCGGAGGCGAAGCCGGAGCCGGAGCTCCTGAGCGACGTGCGTTCGCGCTCACCTCGACGCCCCCTCTCTCGCTCGCGCGTCTTGTCGCTCCGATCGCGATGAGATCTTCTCTATCTTCGCTCTCCGAGTCTATCCGCGCTCTCCTCTATCCGCGCTGACCGTCGCCCGCCCGCCCGCGCGATGCATTCCTCCGTTCGACAGAGAGGCGTGGACTACAAGCCGTTCCGCGACCTCCTGGCCGCAGGCGAGTGGGAGAAAGCGGACGACGAGCACCGCCGCCTGGTGCGTTCTATCTCACACTGGTTCCCGTACGACCGCGTTCGCGTGGTGAACGCCGATCCTTAAGGACTTTACTTCCCGTCGTTTCGCTCCGCCCAGCCCCCGCTTTCAACGCCCGTCCTCGACGCCTTTCAACTCCGCCTCTGACGCCTATGAACTCCACCCCGACATCGCTTCGTATGGAACGACCAGATGTGCGTCCTCGGAGGCGAAGACGCGGAAGACCGCGGGTGGGTTTACTTCACCGAGGCGCGCGACTTCCCGGTCGCGGACCTCAAGACCATCGACGCGCTGTGGGTCCACTTCAGCGAAGGAAGGCACGGGTTCAGCGTCCAGAGGAAGCTTTGGGTCGGCGCGAAGCGGCAGTGGCCGAAGTTTTTCAAGCAAATCGACTGGGTCCAGGGCGAGAACGACAACTACCGCAAGTGGCCGGAGGAGGCGCGTTCAGCGAAATCACATTTTTTATTTACGCCGGTCTCCTCGAGGACTTGACTTGACTTTTCCACCGCCGCGGCGGCGTCTCTCTCCGTCGCTCTCTCTCGTCCAATCACACCAATCCAATCCACGTCATCAAATAACTAACCAATCGCATCACTTCCCGCCACGTCGCCCGCCAATCACAAACGACGACGCTCAGTTTGACTGGAGGAAGGAGGCGGCGCGCGGGCACATGCCGCTCACCAACGCGCTGCGGGGGACGACGCTTCTGGAGTCGCTTCTGGAGCATCCCGCGTTCGCGCCGCCGAAGAAGCCGCAGGAAGAGCTCGCGTCGCAGCTCGAGGAGGCGGGGGATAAGCTGCAGAGCGCGATGGCGAACCTTCCGGGGTTGAAGGGGCTGAAGAAGCCGAGCTGGATGAAGTAGACGTCGGTCGACGCCGGCGACGACCCGCGGGGTCGGATTGGTTTCGATTCGATTCGATTCGATTCGATTCGATTCGATTCGCTCGCTCGCTCGCTTCGGCGGCGGCGGGCGACCACGGGCGAGGAGGGAGGGGGCGCGGAGACGGAGGAGGCGGACCGCGCGCGGGCGGACGGGGCGGGAGAAGAGAGCCGGCGAAGGAGGAGGGAACGAAGAGACGGAAGAGGCGAGTCGTCCCCGATGAGACAATACGTACCACAGAAAAACCTTTATTCGTCTCCGCGCCGCTATCGTATTCTACGCGTGCCTAGCTAGTGCGACGCTAGCGGTGTCGTCGCGATCACGGTATGTCCTCGAAGGGACGGTGGTCGTTGAAACACGTTTGAAACACCGCGTCCACGGCCTCGACCGCGTGCGCTTTGCTCTCGCACGCCGGATTCATCGCCGTGGACAGCACCGCCCGCCTCCGCACGCACTTCTGATGCCCGTTGCGCACGTTCAACGACCCTCGGAAGAACTCGTTCACCTGCGTCGCGTCGGTCGGGGCGTTCGATCGGGTTCGATTCGTCGGTCGGTCAGTCGGCCAGTCGCGCGTCTCGCCGCGTCGCGCGGAGAGAGAGAGAGAGAGAGAGAGAGAGAGAGAGAGAGAGGAGAGGCCGTCGGCGGTGGACGGCGGGGCAGGCGTCGAGGACGGGGATTGAAAGCGTGGTGTGGGCGGAGAGAGAAGACGGCAAAAGTCCTTAAGGATCGGCGTCCACCTCGCCGACGGGGTCGTATGGGAACCAGTGTCGGGTCGCGCACCCAGTGGCAGTCCCCGCTCAGATTCGACGCGCGAATCTCCGAGCACGCGTGCTGCTTCAGGTCCAACCAGTTCATGTTTTTGTTTCGGCAGTGATCGTACGCGTGCACGAGCTCGTGCGTCAGCATGTTCTCCATGTCCGTTCGGCACGAGATGTTGTTGTGGCAGATCACGACGCCCGCGTCCGGGCGGAACCCGCCGAGGACGGGTTGGTCGCAGCGATCCACCTTGAAAAAGTCTCGGTTGATTGCGCACCCCGCCTTCTCCATGGCCTCCACCTGCGCGGCGGGGGGGGGGGTGAGGAGGGGAGGATCAGACGACGGTCGGGGCGCGAGCGAGCGTTTTGTGTGTGTGTGTGTGTGGGGAGGGAGGACGGCGCGGGCTCGACGCGATCCCTTCTTCGCTGTTCCGTTCGCTCGCGCGCGAGGGCGGCTCGCTGGACGACGCGCGCGCGCACCATGTGCTTGACGAGGCGCACGTTCTTGCGGCAGTCGTCGAGCTCGCTCTCCGCCTTCTCGGGCGTCATGCCCTCTCTCGTGTACGCGGGTTCGCGCGCGGAGGAAGGGGGAGAGGAGGTGGGGGGCGTGGACGACGCGATCGTGACAGAGCGGCGCGCGCCCGCGTGTGATGTGGGAGTCGCGCTCGCGGTCAGCTACGCAGACCAGAAGGTGGGAGGATGTGCGTCAGCTTGCAGTCGCGGAACGGCACGTGCGCCGCGTGCTTTGCTGCCGTCTTGCTCTCTGTCGCGGACTGTTGCTTCTCCGCGAGCGCGTTGAGACAGTTTCCCAAAGCGCTGAGGCTCTTGTTGATGTGCCTCGCCTCGCGCAGACGCTCGCCGGTGGCGTTCGTCTTGCTCAGGCGCTCGGACCCGGCGAGGTCGACGAGGTTCGATCAAAAATTCTGAAAGGGTATTTTCATCGCAAGAGCCGATCAAAAGCTTAGAAGTCTGCGTGGCGTGGTCGCCTGAAAAGAATATCGTCGTCAGATCGAAGCGCGTCGCGCTCGCGTCGCGTCGTCGCCGCGCGGCCGCCGCCGCACGATGACGCGCGGCGCGCGTCCCTCCCCCCTCCTCTCCCTCCTCTCCCTCCTCTCCCTCCTAGCGCGCGTCGACGCGGAGGAGGATGAGGATGAGGAGGAGGAGGAGGAGCGACGAGCCAAGGCGATGGCGACCGCGGTGATCGTTCTGTTCGTCGTGTTTTTAGTCTGCGTCGTGCCTCCAGTGGCGACGGTGAACTTCCTGAAGCGCCGCGGGAGGGACGTCACGGAATTTTTGCCCGAGCGAGCGCGCGCGTACGTCCCGCGGTGGGCGCGGCTGGACGAGCGCGAGAGCGGGTACACCGAGCTCGACGCGAACTTTGCGCAGAACCTCGACGTGGACGAGCTCTGACGAAGACGGAGACGGACGAAGGCGTACGTGTAGGCGAAGGCTTCTTCGATCAAAATCTGCGTAGGCCTACGACGCTAATAACCGCGCGCGTGATAATACTACAGTGGTGTACCTTAAGTTTGCGACGACGAGGAAGCGCTGACTACCGATACCGCGCGTCGACTTCCTTGATCGGCTTCCCGACCCGCCCCGCGTACTGATCCGCGATCACCTCCGCGGCGAGCTTCCCGCTCAACACCGCGCCCTCCATGCTCCCGAGAAATTTCTGAGGGCCGTTCCATACAAAGCGACGGCGGGGTGGAGTTGAAAGGCGTCATTGGGCGTTCAAAGGCGTCGCGGTCGGGGATTGAAAGCGAGGGACCCTGGGCGGAGAGATGCGCCGGGAAAAGTCCTTAAGGATCGGCGTCCACATCGCCAACGCGGTCGTATGGGGACCAGTGTATAGAACGCGCCTGAGACGTGAAATCGCCCGCGAGCGTGAAGTTCTCGATCGGCGTCCGCTGGCTCGGTCGGAACTTGTTCCGCCCGGGGATCGCGGCGTAGACGCTCCGCGGCGTCTTGACGACCGCGTGCTTAACAACCTTCGCGCCGGTGCCGTCCGCTTTGATCTCGTTCGGGAATAACCTCCGCAACTCCGCCACGGTCGCGTCCACGATGTCCTGGTCGGATTTCGCGATCCAGTTCACGTCGCTCCCCGCTCGCTCGTCGCACGGCGCGAACACCAACTCGAGCATCGACCGCTCCGCGTCCGCGTACTCCGCGCAGCACTCGGACATGTCCGCGTACACGGAGAGCAACTTCGACCGTGAGAACACGAGACCGTCGTACGGACGCAGCTTTCGATCGAACCAGAGGTGGACGTTGATGACCGGAATGCCCTCGAGCTCCTTCAGCTGCGCGAAGAACGGCGCGCGCTTCCACGGCTCCGGAAGCAGCAGCTTCAGCGCGTCCACGGGCATCGCGCTGACGTAGTGATCCCCGGTCACGACCTCGCCGCTAACGAGCTCGATCCCGGTCACGCTCACGCTGTCGTCCGTCGTCAAAAACTTTTTCATTCCAGCGCCGAGCCTCACGGATCCGCCTCTGCTCACGAAGTGCTCCGCCATCGGCGCGCACAGGCGGTCGGGCTGGTTCCCGTCCAGAAACGCCGTCTTCGACCCGTGCGTCTCGTTGATGAACCGGTTCATCGCGGTCAGGATGACCGTCATCGAGAGCTTATCCGAGTCGATGAAATCCAGCGCCTTTCCCATCGCGATGAAGAGCTCCTCGCGCACGCGTTCGGGCATGAAGTTCCGACGCATCCACTCCTGGACGCTGAGCTCGTCCTGCGCGTCGATGTAGTCCTGCCCGCCCAGCAGCATCGGCACGAGCGGCGCGCCGGTCCGGAGCTTCTCCGCCGGCGACAGCATCCGGTCGTTGGATAGGATCGCGTACGCCATGTTAAACGGCGCCGGCACGCCCTTCGGGAAGTTGAACTTCGTGAACTCGCCCGGGAAGTCCCTCATCGCGAACGTCATCGCGTGCTCTTTCCACTGCAGTCTGTCCCCGATCCCGAGCTCGTCAAACAAGTTCATCCTAAGGGCCATCCATACAAAAATAGTTCACCGGTCAGTTGAAAGGGGGATCGATCAAACGTTGAAACCGGGCGATGGGTGAAAAACGTTTGTATAGAACGCACATGTTCGGGTACGCCCCGAAGAAGATGTGCAGGCCGGTCTCGATCCAGTCGCCGTCGTCGTCTCGCCACGCGCTCAGGGTCGTTCCATACAAAGCGATGTCGGGGTGGAGTTCATAGGCGTCAGATGGAGTTGAAAGGCGTCGAGGTGTGTCGGGATTGAAAGCGAGGGGTGGGCGGAGAGAAACGACAGCAAAAGTCCTTAAGGATCGGCGTTCACCACGCCGACGCGGTCGTATGGGAACCAGTGTATAGAACGCACCTCACTTTCCCGCCGAGGACGTCGCCTCGCTCGATGACGATCGGGACGTGGCCCGCGTCCGCGAGGTACTTGGCGCACGAGAGCCCGGCGAGGCCGCCGCCGACGACGACGACGCGCTTCGGGGCGTGCGACGCGCCGACGTCCGCGACGTTGCGCGTCAGCTTCGCGGAGAGCGCCTTGGCGTCCTGGTAGTTCCGGTTGGAGGGGACGTCGAGATCGGGGGCGGGGTAGTCCCCCGCGCGCGGCGCGACGACGAGGGGCGACGGCGAGGCGGCGAAACGCCCCCGCGCGGCGGACGCGCGGCGGCATCGGCGCGACGGGAGTCGCGTCGGGGTCGTCCACGACGCGGACGAGAGCGCGTGCGGCGCCATCGTCGGACCGAGGGGAGGAGTGACGTGGTCGCGACGGATAAGTGCCGACAGAGGGCGAGCGCGAGCGCGAGTGGCGCGTGTATTTTCTGCGCGGAAACCTTGAAAGGGTTGACCCTCGATTGAAAGGGGGCTGGCTTTCCGGGAAGATGTTGTTAACGATCACTGAGTTTTTGCGCTTCAACCTGCTTCATCGCGCGCGGCCTTCGGGTCGTGCGTTCGTACATGTTTACGTATTTAACACCGGACGCGTACCGACGTCGCCGGCGAAGGCCCAGCGCGCGTTCTATACACGGGTCCCCGTACGACCGCGTTAGCGGGGCGAACGCCGGTCCTCGAGGACTTCGCCCGGCGCGCGCGACTCCCCGTTCGTCCCGCCCGCGGTTTCGATCCCTTCTCTCTCTCCGTCCTCCTCCGCGTCCGCGTCCTCACGCGTCATCACGCGGTCCTCAAGATGATGTGCAGTCCGCTGTCCGAGTCCACGACGCCGGACATCGCGCCCACCTCCAGCGCGAACGCGCCGTCCTCGAACGCCTTTTGCATCTTCCCAGGGCCGAAGAAGCCGAGGTCGCCGCCGTGCTTCGCGGACGAGCAGTCGGAGACTTTCGCGGCGAGGTCCGCGAAGGTGACGTTGCCGGCGTCGATCTCCGCCTTGTACGCCATGAGCTCGTCCATCGCCGCGGCTGTCGCGCGGTGGTGGTGGGGGGGGGAGGAGACGAAGACGCGATAGATGAGAACAGAGACAAGATGATGCGAGATCGCGCGAGAGGGGAAGGACGCGAGATCGGGGCGAGATCGGGGCGCGCGATGGCGACATCGAGCGCACCTTTCGTGCGCTTGGTGATGACGACGCCGTCCGGGTCCCTCCACGACGCCGCGCGGCGGGAACCCTGGTGCTTCACGAGAAGATGCGACGCGCGTACTTCCATCGCGCGCGACGGAGTCTGGAGTGCATCGCAGCGATCGGTCGCGAAAGTCAGAAAAGTGACGGAAAAAGCACATCAGTGGACACGTCACTCCGCCAGGCGCCGCGCACGCGTCACCTCTGCACCCGCCGTCTCGATAATGTTCGCCGCCACGATCGCGCGCGCGACGCGCCCGAGCGCCCTCCGCGCGTCCGCGTCCGCGTTCGCCTCACGCGGACGCGTCGCGGCCCCGACGACGTCGTCGCGTCGTAGTCCGCGATCTCGTCATCCTCAATCGTCGTCGTCGCGTCGATCGATGGCCGCGTCCGCGTCCGCGAACCCGATCGCGACGTTCGATACCACCCTCGGAACGTTCGAAGCGGAGCTCTTCATGGACAAGATGCCGATCACCGCGTCCAACTTCGCAGACCTCGCGAACAGCGGGTTCTACGACGGCCTTCACTTCCACCGCGTCATCGACGGATTCATGCTTCAGGCGCGTTCTACCAACTCACACTGGTCCCCGTACGACCGCGTTCGCGCGGTGCACGCCGTTTCTTAAGGACTTTCTCTCCCGGCGTTCGTTTCTCGCCGCCCACTCCTCTCGTTCAATCATCCCGACACACATCGACGCCTTTCAACTCCGCTTCTGACGCCTTTCAACTCCACCCCGACGTCGCTTTGAACGACGGACCGTCGACTCGACCCTCAGTTCGGCTGCCCGCACTCCGCCGACCCCAAATCCAACCGCGCGGGCACGGGCGGTCCGCCCGGCGGGTCAAGCTTCGAGACCCCGACCGGCGAGACGGTCAAACGCGACGGCGGCGGGAACATCCCCGATGAGTTGATCGACAAGACCTCGAACAAGCCGGGGACGCTGTCGATGGCGAACACGGGGCAGCCGAACAGCGGCGGATCGCAGGCGAGAAATTATATAATTTCGCTCCCCGCGTCGCGTCTCCCCTCCCCTCGCTCGGTTCGGTTCGAACCGGTTCGAACCCATCGCGCGGTTCGGTTTCAACGCCGCTCGCTCGACCGCGCGTCGCCTCGCCGACCTCCCTTCCCCGGTCTATACACTGGTTCCCATACGACCGCGTTCGCGTGGTGAACGCCGTTCCTTAAGGACTTTTCCCGGCGCATCTCTCCGCCCATCACCCCTCGCTTTCAATCCCCGACCGCGACGCCTTTCAACTCCATATCTGACGCCTTTCAACTCCACCCCGCCCCGTCCCGTCGATCGCAGTTTTTCATCAACACGGTGCATAACGACTTTCTGGACTGGTTCGGCCCCGGCCAATCGAAGCACCCCGTCTTCGGCGCGGTGATCAGCGGCATGGACGTCGTGGAGAAGATCGGGAAGACGAAGACCGACCGCGGCGACGCCCCGGTGACGCCCGTGAAGATGAACTCGCTCAAGGTCAAGTGAAGCGACACGGACGCGACATAATATCCAACTGACGAATGTATGAAACTATAATCAGATTCCGTCGCCCGAAGACCGTCCGACCGCTCGGCCTCTCCGTCACTTCTTGCCCTTCTTCCCGCCAGCTGACATCTTGACCTTGATCGCGTCGTGTTCCCTCATCTCCGTCGGCTCCGCGCCCGCGTCCGCCATCTCGACGTCGCCGCCGCCCCCTCCCCCTCCCCCCGCGCCGACGCCGACGCCGACGCCGTCCGCGAGCTCCCTCGAGTCCTCCAACGCCGTCAAGTCGTCTCGGGATCGTTCCATACGAGCGAACGTCGGGGTGGAGTTGAAAGGCGTCAGAAGCGGAGTTGAAAGGCGTCGAAGGCGGGCATTGAAAGCGAGGGACCCTGGGCGGAGAGACACGCCGGGCAAAGTCCTTAAGGAACGGCGTTCACCACGCCGACGCGGTCGTATGGGGACCAGTGTAAGGAGAACGCACCTCGCCGCCCTTCCTCCCCGATCAGCACCCCGCCCGGCCTGGGGAAATACTGCACGTGCGCGCCGAGGAGGTTATCGTCCTGCGGGACGTGGATCCCCGGTCGGTTGGACAGCTCCGGCAGCGGGATCGCGTTCAGCGCCGCCGCGCGGTCGCGCATGTCCTCCACCGACGCGGGCGCGTGAAACTCGCGCATCAGCTTCGTCTCGATGGCGAGCTTGACGTCGTCCACGTTCACCTCCGCGCCGCCGCGGTGCTTCGTGTACGCCACGCTGTCGCTCAGCACTTGCGAGGTGTAGCCTGCGCGGTGGACGGGAGGGAACGACGCGTTCGAGGTCAGTCAGCGCGGCGGGAGGAGGAGGGGACGCGCGACGACGCGACGCCATGCCGCGAAGAGGAGAACGAATCAACCCTAAGCGCGCGAGCGCGCGAAGACGACAGATCGGCTCGATCGATCGAGCGGACGCACGGTGGATGAACTCCATGAGCATGTTCACGACGCGCGGCTCCCACTCGGTGACGCCCTGGGGGAGGGTGGAGACGTCAGCGGGCGCGGAGGACGTTCGGCGGACGACGGCGCGATGGACGACGGACGGATCGAGGAAGAGCGAACGACGGAGGCGAACGCGTCGTCGACGGGACGACCGGCGGGGAGGGCGCACCATGGACCGAAGGACGTTGATCACGACCGCGGCGTCGCGCGGCATCTTTCCCTCCGCGGCCCTGACCTCCGCGTTCGTGGACGCCGCGGCCGCGGCGGCGGCCGCGATGACCGTCTTGCTCACCGGCATGACGCCCGGGGCGACGCGCGCGGCGCGGGCGGATTGTGAAGATCGACGTGCCGTGAGCGTGATGCGCAAACGATTTTCGGTTTGGTTTTCGCTGAAATTATTTGTCGCTCTCGCTCAGCTCCTCCTCTCTCCTCTCTCTCCTCTCGCTCTCACTTCTTCTCGCCGTAATCCCGCGCGCCGAATATCGTGCTCCCCACGCGCACGTTATCGCTCCCCATCGATATCGCGCTCTCGTAATCCCCGCTCATGCCCATCGACAGCTCCACCTCGGTCGCGTCCAAACCCAACGCGTCGCACACGTCGTCGCGCGTCTTCGGGTCGTTCCATACGAGCGAACGTCGGGGTGGAGTTCATAGGCGTCAGAAGCGGAGTTGAAAGGCGTGGAGGGCGGGGATTGAAAGCGAGGGACCCTGGGCGGAGAGACACGACGGGCAAAGTCCTTAAGGAACGGCGTTCACCACGCCGACGGGGTCGTACGGGGACCAGTGTACAGAACGCGCCTTCGCGAGCAGCTCAAAGTTCTCCGGCCGCGACGTGTAGTCCGGCATGCCGATCGTCATGAGCCCTCTGAACGCGAGCGCGGGAGCGCACTCGTTCACGATGTGACTCGCGAGCGCCGTCGCGGCGTTCGGCTCGACGCCGTGCTTGGACGCCTCCCCGGACGTGTTCACCTGACGAGCGACGAGCGGGGAAGGGTTCGGATCGGATCGGATCGGATCGGATCGGTCGGCGAAGGAGGATGGACGGACGAGCGCGGCGAGGGTGCGACGCGCGAGAGGGAGGGGCGAACGCGCGTCGAGCGTCGTTTTCGAGAGACACGACGGCAAAAGTCCTTAAGGATCGGCGTTCACCACGGCGACGGGGTCGTATGGGGACCAGTGTGAGATAGAACGCGCCTGCACCATGACGCCGAGCGGCTCGACGCGGCCCGCCTCGACGCACGCGTCCGCGAGCCGGTTCGCGAGCTTGACGCTGTCCACGGTCTCGATCATCGCCAACCCCGGAACCGCTTTCACGAGCGTCTTCGCCTTGTTCGACTGCAGGTGCCCGATGAAGTGCCAACGCGTGTCCGGCGGCATCGCGGGCGACTTCTCCGTCAGCTCCTGAGGGCCGTTCCATACGAGCGGACGTCGGGGTGGAGTTGAAAGGCGTCAGTTGGCGTTGAAAGGCGCCGAGGGCGGGGATTGAAAGCGGGGGGTGGGCGGAGAGACACGCCGGGAAAAGTCCTTAAGGAATGGCGTTCACCACGCGAACGCGATCGTATGGGGACCAGTGTATCGAACGCTCCTGCGCGTAGTTCTCCCCGAAGACTCTGTGGCCCGCGTCGTAGCACTCGCGGAGCTGCTCCACCGGCTTCGTCTTCCCGACCGCGACGAGGCGCGCGGGCGCGGATCGTCCCGCGCGTGCGGACGCGGCGGCGACTTTTTGGACCACCTCCGCGAGGTGCTTCGCCGTCATGCCGGCGGGAGGGACCGAGGATGCCGAGCCTCCGCCTTCCGCCCCGGTCGCGCCCGCGCTCATCAAGCGCGTGACGACGACGGCTCGCCGCGCTCTCGAGCCGCGGCGCGCGCGGGGCGACGCGATCGACGCGACGCCGCCGCGACGGAGCGAGGAGGTCGGAGTCGTCGCGCGCGTCGGGGAGGGGCGCGAGGAGCGAGGAGGGCGCGCGCGCGACGCCTCGGCGACGAGCGGCGGCGACGCGCGGAGTGATGGCGAGGGGCGCGTTTTCGGTGAACACGTCGCAACACGTCACCGCGAACCGCGAGTCTTGTCGCGTCGAAGATTCTTCTTCGAGAGGATAGATCTGAGCGTCCGCGGCGTCACAACACGCCTCCGCGTCGCGGAAACGATGCTGCTTCACACGGCACGCCGCGCGTGGAGCGCGGCGTCGGTCGCGCGCGCGCGCGTCGACGGCGGACGCGCGCTCGTCGGAGCAGGCGCGTCGCGCGCCCGTCGCGTCCCGCGTCGATGTTTTTTCAGCCAGATTCGCTCGGACGAGACTTTTTTCCCTCGCCTCGCGCGCGGCCCGCGCGCGCCCTCGTCGTCCTCCGCCCCCTCTGAGGTCTCCTCGAACCCCCCTCTTCCCCAACCTCCGCGTCCTCCGCACCAGGCGCCCTTCCGCCCGTCGCCTCGCGTCTCGCCGCGCCGCCGCGCCCGTCGGGCGGAATCTCGCGAGGCGGACGCGGGCTGTTCGGCGGCGTCGACGCCCCCCCGCGAGATCCGCGCGCGCAGACGTCCTTCCTGCGCGACCTGAACGCGGAGGGCGCGCCGGGGGCGCGCCGCGTCGTCGAGCTTTACGAGCGCGGTGACGTCGCCGCGTCCGAGTCCAACCTGGCGGAGTACCTCCGCGCGCTCGTGAAGGCGGACAGCCTGAACGAGTCCGCGCTGCTCAAGGCGCGTTCTCCTATTCACACCGGTCCCCATACGACCGCGTCGGCGTGGTGAACGCCGATCCTTAAGGACTTTTCCCGGCGTCTCTCTCCTCCCAGGGTCCCACGCTTTCAATCCCCGCCCTCGACGCCTTTTAACTCCGCTTCTGACGCCTTTGAACTCCACCCCGACGTTCGCTCGTATGGAACGGCCCTCAAGACGCTGCAAGCTGGCGCGTCGTCGTCGTCGGCGGCGGGAGGCGGTGGAGGCTGGGGAGGAGCGCAGGGTGTCCCCGCCGCGGCGCGCGCCATCACCGGCCAGGCGTCGGACGCGTCCGGAGGCGTCCTCGGGACGGCGCAGTCGCCGGTGTACACGCAACACCTCGAGCCGACGTTTTGGGCGCAGGCGTGGCGGACGATTCGAACGCTCGGCGTCGCCTTCGTCGTCATCAGCGGCGTCGGCGCGCTCGTCGGCGACGCCGGTCCGGGCGGCGGCGGCGGCATCAGCCGCGGGCTTCTCGGCGGCGACGCGGTGAAGCCGTCGACAGAGCGCGGCACCACGTTCGCGGACGTCAAGGGCGTGGACGAGGCCAAGGGGGAGCTCGTCGAGATCGTCGAGGTGCGTTCTATCTCACACTGGTTCCCGTACGACCGCGTCGGCGTGGTGAACGCCGATCCTTAAGGACTTTTCCCGGCGCGTCTCTCCGCCCAGGGTCCCTCGCTTTCAATCCCCGCCCTCGACGCCTTTCAACTCCGCTTCTGACGCCTTTGAACTCCACCCCGACGTCGCTTTGTATGGACCCTCGACCCTCAGTACCTTCGCGAGCCTTCGAAGTTTACGCGTCTGGGCGGGAAGCTCCCGAAGGGGGTCCTGCTCGTCGGGCCGCCGGGGACGGGGAAGACGATGCTCGCGCGCGCTGTCGCGGGCGAGGCGGGCGTGCCGTTCTTCTACACGAGCGGGAGCGAGTTCGAGGAGATGTTCGTCGGCGTCGGCGCGAGACGCGTGCGGGACTTGTTCAAAGCGGCGAAACAAAACGCGCCGTGCATAATTTTCATCGACGAGATCGACGCCGTCGGGAGCGCGAGGAACCCGAAGGACCAGCAGAACACGCGCATGACGCTGAACCAGCTCCTTACGGAACTCGATGGGTTCAAAAAGAACGAGGGCGTCATCGTCCTCGCCGCGACCAACACCCCAGACAGTCTGGACAAGGCGCTCGTGCGTCCCGGCCGGTTCGATCGCACCGTCGCGGTTCCCAACCCGGACGTCGACGGCCGCGCGCAGATCCTTCAGGTCCACGGTGAGGGGATCAAGATCTCGAACATCGTGGACTGGGAGGTGATCGCGCGCGGAACCCCCGGGTTCAGCGGCGCGGACCTGGCGAACCTGGTGAACATCGCGGCGTTGAAAGCCGCGCTCGACGGTTTAGCCGAGGTGAGCATGACGCAGCTCGAGTTCGCGAAGGACCGCATCCTCATGGGCGCGGAGCGCAAGGTGCGTTCTATACACTGGTCCCCATACGACCGCGTCGGCGTGGTGAACGCCGTTCCTTAAGGACTTTTGCCGTCGTCTCTCTCCGCCCACACCACGGTTTCAATCCCCGCCCTCGGCGCCTTTCAACTCCAACTGACGCCTTTCAACTCCACCCCGACATTCGCGTGTATGGAACGGCCCTAAGTCCGCGGTCGTCGCGGAAGAGAACAGGAGGCTGACCGCGTACCACGAGGGCGGGCACGCGCTCGTCGCGCTGTTCACGGAGGGCGCGCGGCCGATACACAAGGCGACGATCGTCCCGAGGGGGCAGTCGCTCGGCATGGTGATGCAGCTCCCGGAGAAGGACGAGCTGAACCTCACGAAGAAGCAGGTGCGTTCTGTACACTGGTCCCCATACGACCGCGTTGGCGGGGTGAACGCCGATCCTTAAGGACTTTTGCCGGCGTTTCTCTGAGCCCATCCCTCGCTTTCAATCCCCGCCCGCGACGCCTTTCAACTCCGCTTCTGACGCCTTTGAACTCCACCTTTGAACTCCAGCTCCTCGCGATGTTGGACGTCGCGATGGCGGGAAGAGTCGCGGAGGAGCTCATCTTCGGCGCGGACGAGATCACCACGGGCGCGTCGTCGGATTTGAGGCAAGCGACGCGGCTGGCGCGCGAGATGGTGACCAAGTACGGCTTCTCCGACGTCGTCGGGTTGGCGTCCGCGGAGTACGGCGAGTACGGATTGTCGCAAGACACGCGGACGCGCGTGGAGGACGAGGTGAAGAGGCTGCTGAGCGAGGCGAACGCGCGCGCGACGGCGATGCTGAAGAAGCACGAGAAGGAGCTGCACGCGCTCGCGAAGACGCTGTTGGAGCGCGAGACGCTCACGGGCGCGGAGTTGAGGCGGTTGGTGAAGCTTCCCGCGCGGAGCGGCGACGCGAGCTTCGCGGAGCCCGAGGGCCCGCGGTCGGTTGCGGCGAAGAAGGCGAATAAAAAATCTGGCGGATGGGGCACTCGCGCGAAGAGCGAGGATGGCGAGGACGACTCTCAGAAGTCGTCGAAGTCGTCCGGGTCGTCGTCTGGCGGCGGCGCGGGCGAGAGCGCGAGGGGGGCGGCGGCGGCGGCGGCGGCGGCGGCGGCGGCGGCGAAGGCGGCGGCGACCAAGTCTCGAGCCGCCGCGGGCGCGGCGTGAGATGAGAAGACGACGCGATTCTGCGACATATGTAATGTAACAGCCAGCCGATTCGACCAAAACTATCATACTACCTCTTCTTCCCGGTCCCGGTCGCTTTCGCTTCCGCTTCGTCCGTCGCGCGCCCTAGCTCGGCGCTTCGCTCCGCGGAGGCGCGCACCGCGGCGATCATCCCCGCTCGAACCCCCGCCGCCTCCATCGCCGCCACCGCGCGAATCGTCGTCCCCCCCGGGCTGCACACCTTATCCTTCAACGCCGCGGGATGCTCGCCGCTCTCCAACACCATCTTCGCCGCGCCCATGACCGTCTGCGCGGCGAGAAGCGTCGCGTCCGCGCGAGGGAGACCGCACAGGACGCCGCCGTCAGCCATCGCCTCGATGATCTGGTAGACGTACGCGGGGCCGCTGCCGCTGTTTAGGGTCGAGGGTCCATTCAAAGCGACGTCGGGGTGGAGTTCAAAGGCGTCAGAAGCGGAGTTAAAAGGCGTCGAGGTCGGGCGTTGAAAGCGAGGAGTGGGCGGAGAGAAACGCCGTGCAAAGTCCTTAAGGATCGGCGTTCACCACGCGAACGGGGTCGTATGGGGACCAGTGTAAGATGGAACGCGCCTGACGCCGACGACGGCGTCGATCAGCGACTCGTCCACGACGACGCACGCGCCGACGGCGCGCATGAGCGACGCGATCGCGTCGAGGTCTGCGCTCGACGAATGCGCGCCGGCGGAGACGGACGACGCCGCCGCGCGGACCTGACACGGCGTGTTGGGCATGACGCGAATCACCCGAGGCGGGGAGAACTTCAAGTCGGGGTGGAGTTGAAAGGCGTCAGTTGGAGTTCAAAGGCGTCGCGGTCGGAGGTTGAAAGCGAGGGGTGGGCGGAGAGACGCGCCGGGAAAAGTCCTTAAGGATCGGCGTTCACCACGCGAACGTGGTCGTACGGGGACCAGTGTAACCAGAACGCACTCGACGATCATCATCCCTCGATCCCCCGCCGCCCCTCGCGTCCGACACCGCGCGCTCGATGAACGACGTGCTCACGCCCGCGGCGACGGACAAGAGCAACGTCTCCGGCGAGACGTGGGACGCGATCTCGGTCAAGACTCCGGGCAGGACGTGCGGCTTCACCGCGAGGACGACGACGTCGGAGACGCGCGCGACGTCGCCGTTGGACGCGAGCGCCTCGACGCCGAGGTTTGTCCATCGCGCCGCGCGCGCCGCGTCGGAGCTCCGCGAGACGCGCATGGAGGACGGCGAGACCGCGCCGGACTCCGCGAACCCTCGCGCCATCGCCTCCGCCATCGACCCGGCGCCGATGAACCCGACGGTGCCGAGCGCGAGGGGGGGGGGCGGCGTCGACGACGACGCGCGAGCGACGACGGCGATTTCGCGGTGTCGGCAGCGCCCAGCGACCCCCGGAAAGACGCGCGACGCCGCGCGTCGTCCTCCCCCGAGATGACGGCTCGCGAGCTGGCGCTCGAGCGCGGCGCTCCCGCCGCGCGAGACGCGCACGGTCGCGGCGCGAAGCATCCCGGCGAGACGCGCGGCGAGGGTCGTTGTGCATCCCTAGACGATTCGTCAATCCGAGCTGAGTGTTGTTATTTCCGATGACGAGTACTGAAGCGACGCGCCGCGCACTTCCGTCCGCGCCGACGCGCCGACGACGGACTCGACTCGACTCGCGGGGGGGAGGACACGCGCGCGATGCGCGTCCTCGTCGTCGGCGGCAGCGGCTACCTCGGCCAGTTCGTCCTCAAGGCGTTCAGCGACGCCTACCCGGACACGGAGTGGGTCGGATACACGTACAAGTCGACGAAGCTCCCCATCCCGCCCGAGGACGACGTCCACGCGTACGAGGTCGACCTCGCGACCGGGGAGGGCGCGGACGCGTGCATCGCGGACGCCACGAAAGGCGGGGAATCGCTCGATCTGATCGTGAACTGCGCCGCGGCGTCGTCGCCGGGATGGTGCGAGAAGAACGAGACCGCCGCGACCGCGCTGAACGTGCCGTCCAAGCTGCTCGACGCGATGACAGCGGCGTCGGAGACGATCGGCGAGCCGCTCTTGATTCACATGTCCACCGACCAGGTATACGGCGGCGACGAGCGGAGGAGCACGGAGGACCAGTGCCCGGCGAATCCCGTGAACGCGTACGCGCGGAGTAAGCTGAAGGGCGAGGAAGAGGTGGCGAAGCGATGGGCGAAGCACGTGATCTTTCGGCCGTCGATCATCACGGGGCCGCAGCCGCCGTACGCGCCGGTGAATCGACCGCTGTTTCTGGATTTCATCGTAGACGCGCTGAAAGGGACGAAGCCGGTCGGGTTCTTCGTGGACGAGTGGCGGTCGCCCGTGTGCGCGCACGACATCGTCGGTCACGTCAAGATCTTCGCGGACAGGGTGCGCGCGCGCGGCGTCTCGACGCGACGAATTTAGGCGACGTTTTCTTTTTTTGGTCACGGCGCCGAGGATGGTTTCGGAAGACCCTCCCTCCCTAAACCTCCCCGTCGTCGACTGACACTCGCCGCGCCTCCTCCGATCCCCCCACCCCCTCTTCCCCAGAGAGACGACCTGCCGCGTCGGAGGCTGTTCAACTGCGGCGGCCCCGATCGCCTCTCGCGCGTCGACATGGCGCTGAAAGTCGCCGCCGCGCTCGGTCTCTCAGGCGCGTTCTCCTATTCACACTGGTCCCCATACGACCCCGTCGGCGTGGTGAACGCCGATCCTTAAGGACTTTTCCCAGCGTGTCTCTCCGCCCAGGGTCCCACGCTTTCAATACCCGCCCTCGGCGCCTTTCAACTCCGCTTCTGACGCCTTTCAACTCCACCCGAACGTTCGCTCGTATGGAACGACCCTCAGACGAAAACGTCGACGAGATCGACAGCGCCTCCGTCGACCGCGGGCTCGTCTCCCCCGCGGACATCTCCATGGACAGCGGCGCGATTCTGATGCACAGCTACGTCGTGAACAGAGGCTTCGCGCGGCAGGTGGACGCGGCGTACGCTAACCCGCCGACGAAGGCGGAGCACGTGCGGCCGTGGGGGGTCGACCAGTGGCCGCCGCCGCCGTGGATAGCGGACAGCGACTGACGACTGACGACTGACGACGTTCCCGCGGGTCGCGGCGCCGGGTCGGAGCGACGCGCGCGCCGAGGGAGGAAGAAACGAAACGAGCGTCATTTTAATCGACGAGAGGGGGGCATCGTTCGTACTGTATCATATCGTGTTAAGAAAAATAGGTGCGCGCGCGCATCACGCGTCGTCGTCGTCGTCTTTCCGTCTCGCGCGCGTCCTTCTCCGCCGTCGCGCCGCCGCTCAGAGCTCGTCCTTGGCCTCGGCGGGCTCGTCCGCGACGTCCTCCTCGACGTCGTCGGCCGCCGCCGCACCATCCTCCGCCTCCGGCTCCGGCTCGTCCTCGACGTCGTCGTCGATGTCGTCCACCTTGTCGTCCTTGGACACGCCCATGTTGCTCCGAACCATGTCGAAGAGGCGAGACGCGAAACCCGCGGGCTCCTCGAACGTGAACCCAGACTCGAGCATCGCCGTCTCGAACATCACCTTCGCGAGCGTCTTGGTCTCCTCGTCGTCCGCGTCGTCCGCGGCGCGCTCTTTCAGCGCCTTGATGATCGGGTGACGCGGGTTGATCTCGAGCGTCTTCTTGCCCTTCATGTACGACAGTCGTGATTCGTCCGAGAGCGCCTGCGCCTTCATGATGCGTTCCATGTTGGCGGACCAGCCGTACTTGGACGTCACGACGGAGCACGGCGTCGTGACGAGCCTGTTGGAGATCTTCACGGACTCCACCTCGTCCGCGGGGAGGACGTCCTTCCACCAGCGCGTGAAATCCTTGAACTGCTCCTTGAGCTTTTTGTTGCGCGCCTTCTCCTTGTCGTCGGTGTCGCCGAATTTGAGGTCCTCCTTGGACGCGTTGCTGAACTTGAACTCGTCAAACTCGGTGAGGTTCTGCATCGTGTACTCGTCGATCGGGTCGGTGAAGTAGATCACCTCGAGGTCCTTCGCGAGGAGGCGCTCGAGGAACGGGCTCTTCTCGAGCGCTTCTCTGGACTCGCCGGCGAGGTAGTAGATGGACTTTTGCCCGGGCTTCATGCGCTCGACGTATTGCTCCAGAGACACGAGCTTCTCCGGCGACTTGGACGTGTAGAAGCGCATGAGCTTCGCGAGACGCGTGCGGTTGGACGCGTCCTCGATGATGCCGAGCTTGATGGCTTTCCCGAACGACTTCCAGAAGGTGTCGTACTTGCTGTCTTCGTCGTCGGCCTTGTCGTCGGCTTTTTCGGCGGCGTCCTCGGCGGATTCCGCGTCGGCGTCGGCGTCTTCGTCGTCGTCGTCCTCGCCCTCCTCGGCGAGGCGGCGAATCATGTCGAGCGCCTTTCGGACGAGCTTCTTCTTGATCGTCTTCAGGGACGTGTGCTGCTGGAGCGTCTCGCGCGACACGTTCAGCGGAAGCGTGTCCGAGTCGACGATGCCCTTGATGAACGAGAGGTACTTGGGAAGGAGCTCGTCGAACTCGTCCGAGATGAACACGCGGCGGACGTACAGCTTCAGCGCCGACGCCTTGTTGTAGTAGTTGTCGAACATGTCCGCGGGGGCCTTCTCCGGGATGAACAGGATGGACTTGAACTCGACGTCGCCCTCGGCTTTGAAGTGCGTGTACGACAGCGGCGCGTCCTCGGACTTGGACAGCGCCTTGAAAAACTTGGCGTACTCGTCCTCTTCCACGTCGGCGGCGTTGCGAAGCCAAATCGCCTTGGAGTCGTTGAGGAGCTCCCAGTCCCAGACCGTCTTCTTCACCTTCTTCGTCTTCGGCTTGTCCTCGTCCTCGTCCTCGTCCGCGTCGTCGTCGTCGTCGTCCTCCACGGACGCGTCTTCGTCGTCGTCGTCGGCCGCGGCGGAGTCCTCTTCGTCGTCGTCCGACGCGTCCGCGTCTTCGTCGTCGTCCTCCTCGCCCTCGACGACCTCGTCCACGGGCACCTCCTCCTCCACCTCGCTCGACTGCCAGAGGTAGATGGGGAAGTTGATGAACTCGCTGTACTTGCCCACGAGCTCCTTGAGCTTGTCCTCGTCCAGGTACTCCTGCGCTTCTTCTTTGAGGTAGATGTTGATCTCGACGCCGCGGCCGAGGGGCTCGCCGTCGTCTGGGGAGATGGCGAACGCGCCGTCGGCTTTGGACTCCCAGATCCACTGCGTGTCCTCGTCGTTGTGCTTGGATCGCACCTCCACAAAGTCCGCGACGAGGTAGACGGAGTAGAAGCCGACGCCGAACTGCCCGATGAGCGACATGTCGCCGCCCTTCTGCATCTGCTCGAGGAACGCGGAGGTTCCCGACTTGGCGATGGTGCCGAGGTTTTCTTTCAAGTCCTTCTTCGTCATGCCGACGCCGCGGTCGCGGATCGTCAGGATCTTCTTGTCGTGATCCACCTTGATCCGAATCTCGAGGTTCGCGTCGTCGCCCACGCCGAGCAGGGACTCGTCCGTGAGCGCGAGGAAGCGAATCTTATCGAGCGAGTCCGATCCGTTGCTTATGAGCTCGCGCAGGAAGATGTCCTTGTTGCTGTACAGCGAGTTGATGATTATGTCCATGAGGCGGCTCACCTCGGCTTGGAACTCGTGCTGCTCCGCGCCCTCCTTGAACGCCTTGTCCTTGTGGTTGACCGCGGGCGCGTCAACCTCGGCGTCGTCCGCGCGGACGACTGCAGCGGAAGGGATGAGGAGGATTTGAGGAGCGGGAGCGGGATGAGAAGGGAGACGTCGTCAGTCGATCGTTCGATCGTGTTCGACGATCGATCGGGGCCGCGGCGGCCGACGGTTCCGATCGACCGATCGGTCGATCGCGCGCGAGAGGGGGGATCGCGTCGTCGCGCGCACCGGGAACGGCCGCGCCGAGCACGAGGAGGACCCCGAAGAGGGCCGCGATGGTCTTCGCGAACTTCATGGCGGCGTGCGGCGGTCGCGCGCGGCGGGGAAGTGCGACGACGCGCGACGCGACGCGACGATTCGACGGCGTTTACGCTGGTACCGAAGCATGACGTCAAAAAAACCGTCTCGGCCAATCAGAGAAGAGAAGAGCGCGGCGTTTCGTCCACCGACCGGAGCTTCTTCCCGCGAGGCGCACAGCGTGCATCGCATCATCGCTACAGAGCGCGTCGCGCACGGGGGCGACGGACGGACCGACGCCGCGAGCGCGCGCGCAGTCGACGAGCGGCGGCGTTGGAAACGCCGCGGGCGGGCGCGCGGGAGGCGAAGCGACGAGCGGAGGGAGGGAAGCGCCGCTGCCGCCGTGCGGATCGATCGGATTCGATCGATTCAACACTTACATCGTCGTCGTCTCGCGCCGCGCGGGCGTTCACTCACGATGACCCCCGACGAGGCGCTGTCGCTCCGCGCGCCCACGGACGGCTTCCTGTGCCCGCTCAGCGCGAACGTGTACGGCATCGACTTCCTCGAGTTCGAGATCAAAGACTACGACAGCGGCGAGAGCGTGTTTCACGTCAAGAAGGACGGCGACGCGGGCCTTCCCGAGCTTCCGGACGACATCGACCCGGAGGTGGAGCGCGCGATCCGCACGGTTCGGTACACGTTCCCGGAGAAGTTTCTGCGGTTCGAGACGGTGCGGACCGCGCTCGTGTTCGGCGTCGGGGAGACGCCCGTGCCGGACTTCCGCATGATCGAGCGGCACTACTTCCGCGACGAGCTCGTGCGGTCGTACGATTTCAACTTTGGATTCTGCATACCGAACAGCGTGAACAGCTGGGAAGCCATCTACGAGGTGCCCGGCCTGGAGGACGAGAGGATCGCGGAGTTCGTGGATCACCCGTTCGACATGAAGAGCGACTCGTTTTACTTCGTCGGCGACGAGCTCGTGATGCACAACAAGGCGGAGTACCAGTATCAAGGGTAGTACGAGGGCGACGATGATTCGTTCGACGGATGCAAACGTCGCGCGGAACGAACGAGCGAGCGAGCGATGTTTCAAATACAGCTTAGAACACGTAGAGAAGAACAGAGATGCACGCGGCGCGACGAGCAGGGCTGCGTCCTCCCGCGCCCGCGCGCGCCCACCCGCCCGCCGCCGCGAGAGCGCCAAAAGCCACTCTCTCGTCACGCGTCATCACGTCTATAAGATCTCGTTCGCTCCGCCGTTCAAAACGCTCACGCGCTCCACGGCTTCACGACGGGCAAAATCACCGCCATGGCGATGATCGTGACGATGATCAGCGAGCAGCACATCCACCACCGACTGCTCTTCTGGTACTTCCTCGCCTGCACCAAGCTCGCGTGCCCCTTGTGCACGTACTCCACCGACTTCCCAACCTGGTTCTCGATGTTATCCAGCATCTCCCCCTGCGCCTCGACCAACACTGATTGACGAGGGCGGCGGAGGGTCCACGACGAAGCGACGAACGTCGGGGTGGAGTTCAAAGGCGTCAGAAGCGGAGTTGAAAGGCGTCGAGGGCGGGTATTGAAACCAGCGAGGGGTGATGGGCGGAGAAACGCACGCGCGCCGGGAAGAGAAGCCCTCGAGGAATGAAGTTCACAACGCGAACGCGGTCGTATGGGGACCAGTCAGCGTGAAGAGAGAACGCGCCCGACATGTCCAGAAAAATCTGATGCAGCTCCATGAGCTTCCGCTCCAACTGCTTCACCGCGTGATGCCGCTCCTGTATCTCCGCCACCGTCTCCAAAATCTGCCCCCTCCCTTGCTCCATGATCGCCTTCTGGAACATGCTCTCGCTCTCCCCGGTCTCGATGAGGTGGTCCAACGTCTCCTCGTCCGCCGCCTCCCCCGTCACGGCAAAGTACCGCCGCTCCACGACCTCTTTGTACTCCGTCTGCAGTCGCGACCGCAAGTCCTGGAACTCCGCCATCTGCGTCTTGAGCTTCATCTTCAGCGACGACGCGATCGCGGTCCGCGTGCGCTCTTGGCTCGAACCGGGGCCTTTCCCCGGGAGCTTCGACGCCTCCGCGCTTGTCGCGTCCAGATTTTCCAGGCGCAGCTTGCACTCGCGCGCCTCGCGCGACGTCTGCTCGATTATGGCGCTCATGTCGTCGCGCATCTGCTTCATGCGCTCGCTCCGCGTGACGCTCTTGCTCTCCTCGTGCTTCGCGTTCAGCTTCACTAGCGCGCGGCGTATTTGCTCCAGGATGCCCTTCACGGTCGTGACGTCCGCGAAGAAGGCGTCCATGGAGACGTCGTCGCCCGCGCCCGAAGCTGGTGGGGGCGGGTTCTCGACGTCCGACGCGGACGCGGGGGCCGCCCCTTTGCCCGCGCCGTCCTTCTTCTTCGACGCCTTGGTGTCCTTCTTCTGCGCGGCACCGGCGGCGGCGCCGCCTCCCTCGGTACCGGAAGGCTCGTCCTGCGGGGTGGGGGGGGCGGGAGCGGGCGGGGGAGGGTCAGCGTTTAACACGCCGACTTTTTTTTTTTTGAAACACGGCGCGATCGGACGCGACGGCGCGACGACGACGCGCGACGTCGGCGACGCGACGCGACGCGGGGGACGGAGGCGCGCTCGCGGACCTTCTTGACCTCGGCGAGGAGATCGTTCATCATGGCGACGACGCGACGACGGCCGCGCTCGCGGCGCGTCCTGAAGTGGTCGTCGTGAGCGGATCGATCGAGGCTGGAGGCGCGTGCCGTTGATGAGCGTGAAACCAAGGTCAGCGACCGCGGCGCGCGGCGCGACGTCACTTTAGGTCGGCACCAACGCGAGCGAATTCTTCTCGGCGCTGCAGTCGCGCCCCGCGCTGTCGTCGCCCGCGCGCGTCATGTCCGCCGACGACGACACCACCGACGCTCCCCCGCCCGCGCCGCCGCCGCCTCAGCCCTCCTCGCCGTGGCTCCGAGACGTCGACGCCGCGCGGCGCAAGCTCCTCGGCGAGGCCGAGGCGCTCAGCTCGAAGCTCGCGTCGGGCGCGGAGAAGGAGCTGACGCGCGCGCAGGAGCGCGCTCGCGCGCTGCGCGCGGAGGCGGCGGACCTCGCGTCCATGTCCGCGCAGAGCGCGGAGACGCTCTCGCTCCTCGCGCGCGAGCGCGCGGAGTCGAGACTCAAGGGCGGCGGCGACGACCTCGTGCGATGGCAGGCGGCGGTGGTCAGATCCGTCGAAGACCGCGTCTTCGCGGAGTTCGACGCGTTCGTCGTCGAGCTCGAGCCGAAACTGCGCGAGAGCGGGCGCCAGGCTGCGCGCGCGGGGTTCGGCCTCCTCGACGACGCGCCCCCGACGAGAGACGTCATCGCGGAGAAGCGCCGCGAGGGCGAGAAGGACGCGAGCATGCGCTTGGAGCGGTTCGAACGCGTCGTCGTCAAGCCCATGATGAAACCCATCAAGGCGGGGATGATCGACGGGCTGATCGAGGAGACGCCGAGGATACTCGCGGGGTTGGCCGCGTACGGGCTCGCGTGCGGGATGATCGGCGCGTGGGTCGGGCAGAGGGTCAGGGGGGGAGGGGGGGACGGGGGGGGCGACA